TGATACAACTTAGTACGTTTGGTTGCTTTCTGAGATGCGACTATTTTGAAGTTGTAGCCCCCCCCGGAGAAAAACCCACCAGCCGCCACTGCTGGGACCCCAGTTTGAGAACCTCTGCTCTATCAAATATAATGATGGTTGTGCTGCTTGTTTTTTTTTTTAGTCCAGATAAATTGTATGAATAAAGATCAAGCAGCTTCACTAACTTGGATCTTAAATCCAATGAAAAATCATGTTTTAACATCAACTATTTGAATGATAAAAACAGTTTCATTCTTCACATCAGATCATATTTTTTCTGTTCTGTGTAAAAAAAAATGTAATTCTTACCTCGGTCACGATGCTGGAGGCCCCTTCAGGAGACTCAAAGTCGGATCCATTCATGCATCCAGTTGTTGAATTGAGGCCGTACTTTTCTATGGTTTCCAGATCCCAGCTCACCGGTGTGAACATTTGGCAGCTCTCATAGTTTCCTTCACTGTTCACAGGGATGGTGAGGTTTCGTTTGTGTTCATCTGTCAGGTTGGGACCACGCTCCGAGATCCAGTCYGTGTTGCAGTGGTGAGGGAAGCTCATGCCCGTGAACACCTGTCCGATCACGTCAAAAGCAACGAAAACRCTGGGGATGCACAACGCAGCCACCAAACGTTTCTGAAACAAGCCAAACTCTCCAATCTCCCTCAAGATTTCCTTAAAGTTGCTCATTTTGGGAACCTAATATCCTCCGAGTGTCACGGAGCAGCGGCAGAGCTGTCTGCAGGCGAAGCGTCCCCTCTAACAGCCACTCTCATCCTCCAGGTTAATGTTTAAACTCACAATCACTGTGGTTTTATGACCAGACAATGTGCCAACTGAGCAAAATGTGAAACATCTGGCCTTTTTTTTAAATCAACCTGACAACCAGTTGTTGCCATTTTTTGTTCAGTGAACTCAGATCAAAAACAAACATTCTAATTGTTCAAAACAGTTGTTTCAAGCTAACATGTCGACACATAAACCTGTCTTGTTAGCAGCAGTCTTGTGCTTTTCAGTGTGAGTTTGGTCGATGTCTCTGAACCACCTGCTTCTGCGAACGGCTAAAAATACACGAGGGCAAGGAACTCTACACTCTGCTGAGAAACCGAGACTCACAAATACACAACACAACATACACTGTACATTAAAGACACACACGTCGAACATTCTCCTTTGGATCGGTGGCCTGCTGTGGAAACCCCTGACAGTTTGATGCTGATTTTAAAAGACTCCAATATACTGTATATATATATATGTATGTATATTATTTTTTTATAAAAATAAAAGAAAAGACTTGTGGATTTTTGAGATTTTAGACATAAATGATCAATGGTTAATGCTTAATTTCTAAAAGTGTCATGAAAAACCATCCAGGTTTTTTTTGCCACTTCAGTAGAAAGCAGAACTTAATATCAGAATATTAGTATCTTAGCTTCTTCATCATCAGTGGCTTTTATCCCCAGGTTTTTTAAACAGATAAACAAACAAACAAACAATTACGTGATCACCTGCCGTACGGGTCACTGAGTGAAAAAAAACTGCTGAGTCATGGTTTCAGATGACAGAAAATAAAATAAACCATAGGAACCTTTGCAGGAAACAAATGAAAACAGGAGAAATTGTTTTTATTTGGTTCATTTATGCTTATTGTACAAAGCTTTTTTTCCTCTTTCAGTACAGATTTACAAATTAAAACAAAGAAAATAAAAATATTACCAGTCCACAAAATTCCACATGAAGTTCCTATATTTTGTCTTTGAGTTTGATCATTTTTAACTTTGTGAATAAAACTCATTRACACGTGTCAGCCACTGAAATGATTACATAAACATACTTATATATATWTTTCTCATCGCACTGCTCTGATTAAAACAAAATCAACACTTGTTCTACATTTCAAATGACAGAATCATCATACAACGTCCTCATCTGAATTTGTTTTAAAAAAAAGTGAATTGTTACACATTTGTTACCCGTCAGTACACTGTAAATGTCAGGCAGTGTTGATGTTATGGAGCCTCAAACAGATTTATAAAAATAAATTCTGTCATCACAGTCACCGTGTCATCAGCTGAGGRTGAAAACAGAACACTGATTAAAAATATTTCCAACAATTACTAATTAAAAGCATCAGGAATGAAATACTCACTGAGCAGTCAGGCCTCTGACTCATCGGTCCCCTCGGTGGACGTGTTCCTCAGGAGCCACTTGTTTTTGTGCTGCGTGCGTCCAAAGCCCTCGTCGTAATTCCCTTTTCGCTTGAACAGTTGTTGGTAGTGAAATATGCAGTAGAATTCACCGTTTAAAGGCGCGTAACTGTACATGCTACAAATGAGCAAATGTTAGTAACAGTCAAAACTGTAAAAAATCTTTTTATCTGTATGTTTCTGCAGGTTTTGGTGACTTTTAAAATATCTACATTTACACCATTAATTCACAACAAAGACGTCAAAAAACATTCAAAATTCAACTTGAGATTAACAGTTTATGTCATCAATTGTAGAAGTGGTTTTTTAGTGATCAGTATCTTACCTGCAGTAGAACCATCTCAGTTTRGAGAATCAGAGAGAAACCTTCCAAACAGAATCAAGCTGACGGCCGATCAGATCAATGGGCCTCATGCAAGAACCGTTCGTACGCACAGATTTGTTCTTAAATTGTGCGTACGAGTGA